AAAAAAAAAAAAAAAAAAAAAAAAGAAGAGGAGAACGGTGCCACTTCCGATTTATTAGGGGCGCGGTAGATACTCTTCCGTTGGTGGACGCTCGTACCCAGCTGCTTTCTCCCCCTTTGGCACGGTGCACCATAGGCTCCGTTGTAAACCAAATGTAATTATTTTTAAAAAGGATGTAGGGACCGTGTTTTCAAGCGGACGGAACGCGTGGTTCAAATCAAAGCGTAGGTGCTTTAAAAGTAAGCATCGACGATAACTAGCCAGACATAGGACCTGAGACACTTCGAATCGCTTCGAATTTATCGTATATCGTAGTTAAGGTTTATATTTCCACGCAACTGGGATAAACCATATCCTTGAAACGATTAGTCATCAGTAGATTGCGGATTTCTGTGCATTTTTAAATTTAATCTAAATAGAAATTTGTTTTATCTACTGTACGTCGTGATAAATACCTCAGATATTTTATATATGTTTCTGCATTGTGTGCATTTCGGTCATATCAACATCATAAGTCGAAATTAAACGATATACTATAATATATAATTTGAAAATAATCTTATGCATTGGTTAAATCTGGAAAATGCAATTTAGTCTTTTTAAAATGGATATCTGGATTATTTTCGATATTTTGAAGATCTTGAGAATTGCTGAGGTTTGATAGTGTGATGAGCATTCGATAACTCGAATCTTTTGGATTTTTTAAAAATATTTATATTTTATAATTTTATATTAACTTGCAAAATATTGGGTACACTCGTCATGTTATCAGGCTCTATTGCAATTCCCCAAATTTTCGAAACTTCCAAACTTTTTTCAAAAAAATCGACGTGATTCGAAATATCTTAGATTCCACTTACTAACGCCAGTGAGATGTGCCACGTTATAAGTTATTATACTTAGTCATTCCGAGCACGTAATTCTAAGTCAGTGCACAATGTACAGCTACTTATGTTAAGAAACGTTTCTCCAGATAGAGGCTGCGTGATTTGTCACGTTAGACCGGAAGTTTCCTTGAAACCGAGATTTACGTGGAATGTTAAAGATTACGAGATATCTTTCTTAATTTCGTTTTATGAAGCGTTTGTAATCTAACAACTACAGCAACATCCACAGCTATGAATTATAATTTTTTGAATTATTTTTTAATTTCATGATTTATTGAAATAGTTTCTGAAAATCTTCTCTTTGATTGATCTCTTTAATCGTGTAAATATCAAAGTTACTAAATTTAAATTATATAACTTGAGAAAAGTAAATAAAGCAATAAAGTAATATGATGTAAAACAATATAACATGATAATATAATAAAATATATACTCATATACTCATCAGTATGAATATCTTTCACTCAATTTCTAATAAAATTAAATTCATAATAAATATTTCTCTAGCTGAAATATCATGCATCACGACGACGAAGAAAAATGATTAAAAAAGAAAAAAAAAAATGATAAATTATATTTCTATCTGTGACCAATATTTCTTATATGTCATATATGCAT